TCCTAATATTATTTAGCCTACTTAAGATCTTAAAGTAAATTAAAGAATAGGATAAACGGGGTATCCTACGGGTTATACTATTATTAAACTTCGAATTCCTATTTCTTAAGTTTTTAATAGTTAGGGTAATTAATATTTAAAATTATAAGGGAGTAGATTATATTCTTTAATTGTTATATACTAAAAGTTCTAATATATATATAATTAAGGATACGGTCGTTAAGCTCTATTTTAGAACCCTTAAATACTATAGCGTTTATATTCCTTTCCTAATTAGTAGGCTTCTAATTAATAATACTATAATTATAATTAATATCCTTCTACTTATATTTCTAAATAAAGTAACCGAATTAATTATATTAGTAGTATTATTACTAATACCCTTCCTTATCGTTACTTCTTATACGTCGCCTATTTTTACTTCTTCTATAAAGGGAATTAATTTAAATAGTATTAGTTTAAGGGTTTATAAATTAAATAGGTTAATAAAAGGTAAGTTACTAAGGGAGGGAAGGTTATTATTAAATTAGAAGAGTAAAAGTAATACTTCGGATAATTATTAATTATTCTATATAAGTAATTAAATTATTTATAGTTTTTTTCATTAAGAGTTGGGGTAAAGTTTAATAGGGATTTACGCCTTCGTAATCGTCCTTTTAATAGGAACCTTTATTATAATTTCTTCCTTAAAGGATTTAAAGGAATTATCCAATTTAATTACGTACTTAAATTTATATTTATACTTTTTAGTAGAAATTTACTCTTTATTACTATTAATATTTAATAAAGCGCTAGAATTAATATTATCGAACTATTTAATTATAAGCTTAATTAGAATTCTAAAAAATTCAATCTAGTCTATAGTATAGAACTACTCCTTTAACTTCTATAGGAAGGTAATAATTATATATTTTATTTCAATATATAACTTCCTATAAAAGTTCTTAATAATATTACAATTAACGCTATTCCAATCCGATGCGTTCTAACGGGCAAATAGTGCCGAATAAGTAAGGATAGTATTTATAATCTTATTTCTTTAATACGGAATATATTTAGTATAGAACTTTTTTAAAGTAATAAATATACTATCTATCTATTTAGGGTCCTTTGCTTTATAAATTACTTTAAATCTCTTAATAAACTCCTCTTAAATATAAATCCTCTTCATTTTTAGGTTACGGAGGAGGTCCTTACCTATATTCCTAAACTTCTTCTTATACTACTATTAGAACTAAATATCAATTTTGAATTTTTTATTTCCGAATTTATAAATACTGACCTCCCCTTCGAATAATTCGATATATTTGGAAACCCTTTTTCTATTAAACTTTTTCTTAAGGAGAATATTGCAAGTAAAAGTAGTATTATTAACGAAGAAGGTAATAATAATATTAAAGGATACTTTAACCGGGTGGGTAGGTATATTAATTAAAGGGATTTTATTAGAAGGGGTATTATTAATATTAAATATAGTAGGTAATTAGGATTTATAGAAATTTTAATAGTAAATTTATAGTTTGTAATATTAATATTAAAAATTAGTATTGATACTTTTCTTCTTTAGCGCGGAATAGATTTAAGGCTTTAATATTAATATCTTCTTCTTTATATAAGTATTTCAATAATTATAATAATTAAATTTTAGGGTCTTATATAAGTACTAGCGCCTAAGGGTTTAAAGAGCAATATAATAAGCGAATTAAAATTATTAATACTACTTCTTTACTTATTTTATTAATTTTTTAAAATATCACTTCAGTCGCTCTAAAAGTATTAAATAAGGAGCGGAATACTATAACTATTAAACCTATAGTAATTTCAGTAATTCAAAGTATAAATTTTATATATAGCGTATAAGTATTTAATTACTAAGTATTATTTAGTAAGGGGCGGATTCGCGCCGGTCTTTTTCTATTTATTATTCTCTTCCTAATTTTTCTTTTTGGGGTTTATTTTAAGTCTTTTTAATTTAATTTTATCGTTTTTCTTTATTATAATTAATTTTAAAACTATAGAATAAGGGATTTCCAACCTAATTTAGTAGGTATAGCAATTTAAAATATTTATAGTTTATTATCGGTAGATTATAGATTAGTCGATAAGGCGGGAAT